GGCTTAGGAACATAGTTTTCCTGATTCGATTGTTTTATTCTATACGTTAAACTTCTAACTTTAAACGGATTTAGGTTCAGAGAACATTAAAATGGCAGAGGCTCATGGCTCATGGGGGGGGGGGGGGCTTTGGTAACATAGGGTGAAAAACTATGAGAAACAAGCAAATACTCTTTTTTCCTATTCAGTTGATCTTATAAACACTTTTAAGATATAATACTAAACTGAATTCCTGCGTATTAACACTTAATATCATATACAGTTTGTCTTCTACTATAAAGACCTACAAGTCCCTGTATGCCATTCATTTTAAAACTAAAATCTTCCTTTCTACCTGATAACTTGCAGCAAGAAAGATGTGAAATCAAGCGTATCTTTTAGTAGTTGTTGACTGTTTTATGACTAAGTAAAGGGTCACTTTTTTTAGGCATAAGGGCAAGGCAATGAGCTCAGTTAAGTGTTTTATACTACCTAGTTTCCAGAATGAACAGATCTGTTATATCTGAATCCATGATGAAGAGCAAAAAGACCATTTATCACACTTTTGTGAATGTGAACTACAATACATTGGACAAACAAAAGCCAGAATTCAAGAGTATAGACATACAAGACTCTGTAATGCCGATATATCTACAATAACGCATTGTACTCGAAAAGAAGAGCATGTAACAAAAAGGAATAATACAAAAATAATAGGATACCAACCACACACGAAAAGAAAAAGTAAAATAAAAGATCATTCTACATTTGCCTAACTGATAATACACTTGGTAAACCTAGCATAGAAGTCAGCAAAACTTGGATGGCATTCTTGAAAGTATTCAGATAGTTGATTCAAGTCCTAATGGGGAGAATCCACACGAATGAATAGTACACCAGCTTCTGTATTACAAAGACCCAGAATTGAATCCTGCCCAAATACTTTACTGCAAATGGTAACAGCTTAGTGTCCGGAACAGCAATATAAATTATTAAGTATACAAGTTCGTAACTCATTCATAATTATGATTCGTGATCGTATAAGCTTCTGTACAAGACAATGATTTAAATATATCCTTTTTCATTATGTCTATATCTACTCCATATAGATAAATTTGTGCAAAGTATAAGTCATCTTTATAAATATTTAATAGTCTTAATATAAATGTAATAATATATATATATATATATATAATAGTATTCTGGTTCCGATGATTTTTTATAGATTTAAAATGTTTGCATATTATTTGTTTATTC